TTTTTTAATGGCTGAATAGTATTCCATAGAGTATATGTGCCACAGTTTTTTAATCCATTCATCTGTTTGTGGGCATTTGGGTTGGTTCCATGTCTTAGCAATTGTGAATAGTGCTGCAATAAACATCGATATGTAAGCACTTTTCCAATGAAGAATTCTTCTGTCCTTTGGGTAGATACCAAGGAGTGGGATTGCTGGATCATATGGTAGTTCTATTTGTATATTTTTGAGGAATCTCCAAATTGTTCTCCACAGTGGCTGGACCAATTTATATTCCCACCAATAGTATAAGAGAGTTCCCCTTTCACCATACCCCGCCCCCCAGCACTAACCATTTTTTTTTTTAATCTTAGTCATTCTGACTGGGGTTAAGGAGAGGTTAATGTAAAACTATTGCTATTCATATAAAACAAGAGGAGAAAATAAACACACCAAGTTTGTTTGATGTATATATAAAAAGTTACTAAAAGTATAATCTGGAAAGTAATTAACAGCAGTTCCTAGCTGAGGGCCAACGGTAGGCAGGGGAATAACTGAGCAGATGGGATGAAGGACCAGAGTGAAAAGGGACTTATTTCGGTGTGTACCTTTTAAACTTTTGAAATCTTTGCACCAGGGTGAGCAGGTGATTGGAGTGCTGGACTCCCACATGGCCAAGTCTGGTTCAAGTCTCAGACCCAGCGGCTTGCTTTCTCATTTCCTCCACCTCCCGCCCAGCACCCCCTCTCATGAGTGCACATGCCCTGTAGCAAATAAAAAAAAAAAAAATAAATAAAAGGAAATAAAATGATTCTTAAAAAAATCTTTGCGCCATGTGACTATACTACCTACTTAAATTTAAAGAAAAATAACCATCCTTTAGTTTAACCATGCTGGTGGAAATTTGAATACTTATTATTAGTCGTCTCAAAGATAAAAGTCCACATTTTTCATAAGAATATATGCAGAAGGAAGAGCAGTTACAACAGCCATTTATTATTCCGTTTCTGGCTGAGCTGTGAGATTATTAGCTTCAGGAAGACTGACTGCCTTACTGAAGGTGTGGAAACAGATAAATGGATTTGCCTTGCCCATTCTCTCTGGCGTGTAGGAAGAGATTTGTGAAATCCTCGCCTACTGTGGACATTCATTCTCCCACCCACTGACAGACACTAATGACTATCATCAAAGCTGAAGGATTAGATTTGCAATAGACATAAAGTCTCTGCCCCTTGCTTAAAGCTCTGCCCCTTGCTTTCCACCCTGGTCTCCTACACACCCTCATTTCTTCAGGCTAGAACTGTCCTAGGTATCCAGTCTATCTGCCTACTGTCCTTTCTTCTCCAGGCCATTCTGCATACTGCAGCTGGCTGAGATTGCTAAACTGCTGTGATGTAAACATGCCCCTCGAGGACAGCATGCTGTGTTTTTTGACTCTCTGTCACCCCCTGAGTGCACCTTTAGCTGTGCCATGCTGCTTCCTGTAGTTCCCACAGGCCACACGGTGGTCCACCCCTGAGCCTTCCTAAGAGCCCCTATTCCTAGTTTGCTGCCTCCCTCTTCGTATACAGTCCTTGTTAAGGTCTAGCTCAGGACTAACCTCTGCTGAAACGTTCTTGAATACATTAACCACCCCCAACCCCCGACAAAAACAGCAGCAACAGCAGCAGCAACAAAACAACTCATAAGAATTGGGTCAGCCCAAAGTATACTACTCGCGAGTACTTTCGATTCTTCGGTGCTGAGCAGAAAGAGCAAGATGGCAGAGAGAGCTATTCCAAATTGATTCTAGTTCTAGCTGTGGCACTTTTGAACTGTTTGATTGTGAGCAAAGCATTTAATCTCCGATTCTATTTCTTCTCTCTAAATGCTAATGTTCTTCCAGTGTTGTTACAAGAACTAAGTGAAGCTCTGTGGGTGAGATGTGTAAATACTATCCAAAAGAAAAGTATCCTTCTTGTCTTTCTACTCACTGGGTCATGCAGAAGTCGGCTTTTAATGTAAAGCTTTATTTTAAATATTGTTGAAGTAGATGTGACTACTATCAGAAGTTCCAGCCTACCTGAAGTTTCATGGGTAAGTATGGACTGGATTTTGTGTGACTGTCTTCCTTGATCTGCCCAGGTTTCTCATGCTCAGCAGGACTACCTAGAGAACCACATCCAAACCCAGTCATCAGCCCTGGATAGCTTTAATGCAATGAACTCTTCTTTGGCAACGGACTCCATTGGCCTGCAGGTATTCATTGGCTCACTGTTAGATGGCTTCCTTCTGCGACAGGGCAACCAGCTTGGCCAGGGTGGGCTGTGCACCTCTGTGGAAAAGTAAGTTACAGAATAGGGATTGTTTGTTCTCTTGATAAATTTGATTTTCTGAGAGACAACCATTCAGATGCTTCTAATTCTTACTCTGCCCATTGGGTGTCCATTTTAGCATACAAATTAACTTGAAAACAGTCACAATAACACATTAGATTTCCTTGAAATATCTACCCTTGACCTTTGTTTCCAAATATGTAAATAATACTTTCTGCCCCTCCTCTAATTGAATGTGGCTCTTATCTTCTCACTCATCTCTTAAAAGTTCCATGAATGATTTTCAATCCTCTCTGGTCTTATATAAATAATTTATTAAATAAACAAACAAAATTTTATGTTGGGATTGTTCACTTCCCCTAGAACCTAGCCTTCTCTAATAACAGCTGATATGGCGGTAATGATAACAAAGGTAGGCAGCTGTCCAGCCCTGGGTCTGGGTGGCCTTGTGTTTGGGTTTGTCTGGGATGCCCATTCCTGGTGGGGCCTCTGGGTCCCGCCCTTTTCCTGCCTCTCTTTAGTGCATGCCAGTTTTCCCCTGGCCTCAGGCCAAGCCCCATTTTGGATCTAGTTTACTCAGTAGCCTTTGTTCTCCCTTCCTCCTGCCATCTGGGACTCTCTTCCTTCTCTTCTTGAGTGTCCTCCCTCTGTCATCCAACCAGGAAGGACTCTACCTTGCCTGAGTTCAGATTTGGTTGGTATCTATACTCTGTCTCTCTCTTTTTTCTTCTTAGAAAAAAAAAAAGATTTAAAGTTGTAAATGACTTCTTCCTAGAAAGAAAACTTGCAGATATTTTTTTCTTTCTTTCTTTCTTTTTTGGAGAGGTTTTTGCTATAGGACGCGTGTGCTCGCCAGACAGAGAGAGACAGAGAGACAGAAAGAGAGGAATCACCCCTCATGGGGGATGGCCACGCTGCAATCCCTTCTCCTCCATTCTCCTCTTGGGATCTTGGGCACGCACGCACGCGTGCCTGGTGTGAGTTTAAGCGACCGGATCCGAGACGTGAACCGCGGTCGAGTACGTGGGAGTCCAGTGACGTAGACATTACGCTAGCTGCTGGTCTCCTGCAGATATTTTTTGGAAAAATTCTTCTGATTTGCCATCTGGCAGTTAGAACAGGGTCAGCTCTAATGTAGGCACCCAGTAGATCCATAGTTTCTTAGTCCTGGGCACCCAGAAGAGCCTTGTAACTAAAAGATTAAAGCCTTGGAGAAAGGAGAGAGAGAGAGAGAACACCATCTCACAGCCAGGATACCATGGAGTTGCTGAATTTGAAGGTCATTGGCTTCTTATTTATGCAGGATCTAGTTCTTCCATTGTCCCTACTTTCTACTTTCATTATTATTGACAGGAAGACTAGACCCTTGGTTTGATTTCATAGAATCTCAGGCTCAAAAGAACTGTTGAGAAGATTTCCAACCCCTTTATTTTATGGATAAAGAAATCGAGGCTGATAGAGAAATGACATGAATAAGGGGATAGGCTAATTGCAGAGTCTGAATTATAACAGACTCTGGATTATAACAAATTATAATTATGTAATCTGATCTCTTGGTCCAGATTGTAGTTTGCTTGCTTGATTTCTCTCTCTCTTTCTTCCTTCCTTTCTTTTCTCCTTCCTTCCTTCTTTCTTTCTTTATCTCTCTCTACCTCCCTCTCTTTTCTTTTCTTTCTTTCATGAGAAAGAGAGACAGAGAGAGAAAGACAGGTACCCCGATAGGATCTTCATGCTATGACCTACTGAGGGCGGCAGCTGGAATCACAGACACTTGCACACCTCCACCCAGTCTGTACAGGGAGGCTCTGGAGCATGAACCCAGGACCTCCCCACATGGGGAGGTTGCATCATTGCTGTACCACCATCTGGCCTAGGATTGTATACTTTTGCAAAAATAGAAGAGTAGTACTCCTGAAGTCAGTGGGGCTTGGAGGAATAGGCAGCTGGGCTAGGTGGTTTCTAAAGCTCCATGAATCTCAAATGTTCTGCAATTCCATGATTCCAGATGGTTTCATTATTTCATTTAATATCTTATTACCTGCATTGAAAATTATTTTTCCTAATCCAAGTAGGTTTAGGAGTGAGAGGCTTATTGTTGTCTAAAGTGGAAGTAGATGAGTTGGGGAAGTTTCAGAAACTGATCATGTAACCAAGAGGACAAAAGTATTAGAAGTTATGTCGAACACCCAACTTTCTAAATCTTCTGATTTAAAGTTGTAAATGACTTGAGACAGTTGTGGAAGTGTCCATAGCCCAGTGTCCATAAGCCCCAGTAGGAATTCTGGGGCTTATGGAAGCCATTGTTCTCTAAGGAGAATGAACTGACTAGAAACTGAAGCAGTAAACAGCGACACTATCAGTTTGAAAATTCTTGCTTCAGTGGGTGGCTTGCAGTAATAATCAACAGGTTTTTGACTCTTGTCAGGCACTCATGTAGGTCACTTTACTCCATTATTTGGTACTTCTTTTTCCCCACCCATCTCTGCCTAAAGGAGGAGGGTGAAGCCTTTAAAGGCAATGGAGTAACCTCAGCCATGTTGTCACCATCATGGCAAGTAGCCTGGAAGTGCAGAATTGACACTGTTTTAAGGAAAATGGGGGAATATCTTTGTTCTATAAAATTCATATTTTGTTTTTGCATTTATTTCATCATAAGAATTTGGATACTATAGAAAAAAAGGAAGAAAGTAAATATCCATAATTCTATCACATAGTGAGACCTGTTCACTGGATTTCCTGCTAGTCTTTTTCTTTCTTATGCATAAACACATTTTCAAACAGATGCCTATACATATTTTTCAAAATGGGGTTGTCCTATTCTTACTGTTTTCCAATATGTTTTTTTCATGTGAAATGATGTACTATGAATACTTTTTCTTGAAAAGACTCCATTTTTAATCCATCTCCATCCACTCTAAACAGCGGAAAGTAGAATTGGCAACAGTTGTGGGATGTCGTGGAGGAGGTTTGCTGGCCCACTTGACCACGGTGTGGTAGGCCCCTTGACCACTGTGGGAGGCCCTTGGTTCCTTAGACACCAGGATCCCAGGTTGGCAACTGCTGTGGCCTGTTGTTACCTCAGTGGTCAATGACAGAGGGACATCCCAGTGTATGACTCTTGTTTTTTTTTTTTTTTCAAGTCACTAACTCTGATTTTATTTTATTTTCATCCAAACAGAAAACCCTTGTGGATGTTACTTTGGAAAATAGCAACATTAAGGATCAAATCAGAAATCTGCAGCAGACGTATGAAGCATCCATGGACAAGCTGCGGGAAAAGCAGAAGCAGTTAGAGGCAGCTCAGGTTGAAAACCAGCTGCTGAAAATGAAGGTGAAGTGTCAGAGCCTAGATTTCCCACGAACCTTCCTCTTTTCTCCTTCACTTCTGTCTCCTCCCATCTCCAGCTCTCCCAACACCTCTTCTCCATTCTCTTTCATCCCCTGCCACCTATACTCACCTGCCCTCAACTCCACCGGCCTTTTATCATCTCTTCTGCTGGGCCTGCTCAGGCCCCTGGAGGTACCCAGCTTAGTGTTAACAAACCTGGGGTGGATATTTCCAAAGGCAACGTGTAGGAAAGCACGAAGGATGAGCCCAGATTCCTTACATGAGCTTAACGGAAGTCTTGCCTAGAGACCGGCCTGGCCAGTGCAGACAATGGGGTCACATAGAGAGGGAGGTTTCCACCACTTGAAAAAGTCCCTCCTGTGGAGCACTTTTGTCCTCATAATACCACACAGTTTAGTAAAGTGCCATTTTTATGTTTTGGTTTCTCCACTCAGTCCTTCTCCTCCTTCTATCCCTGCTCTGTTGGTTCCACGCTTCTCTCTACTGCAGACCCTGCTGGATGGGTTCGCCCCTGTGTGTTCACAGAGGCAAAGCTGCAGTTCTGAAGGGAATCTCTTTGTAGGTGGAATCGTCCCAAGAAGCCAATGCTGAGGTGATGAGAGAGATGACCAGGAAGCTGTACAGCCAGTATGAGGAGAAGCTGCAGGAGGAGCAGCGGCGGCACAGCGCCGAGAAGGAGGCGCTCCTGGTGTGTGTCTTCTCGCTCCAGCACACAAGAGTCTTGTGGGTGAGGTGTAAATGGTAGGGTTTCCCCTTAGAAGTGAGGATGCGGACAAGGATGAGGAATCAGGGAATCTGTTTGTTTGATCCTTTCCCTTCTTCCCTCGCACTTTTATTCATTTTCCTCCCTGCTCTGGATGGTCCTCAATCCCTAAGTGTACACTTTTCTCCAGCTAATCTGACCATTTGCCAGCATCTACATAGATCTTCAGCTTGCCTTGTGCTGTGCTTACTCTATTTGCTGAAATGTCCTCCTTCCCTCCCCTCGATCCTACTTACGCTCCCTAAAAGCCTTGAAAATGCTACTGTCTCTTTGCATGAAGGTGCTCCCATGCCCCAGGACACAGCTAGAAATAGCCTGCCCTGGGGAAGCCTGTTCTATCCCTCTGCTCCTGGCCGTGGAATTCAGTTTTCCCTGCCATTACAGTCGAGCTGAATGTCTCAGCTCTTGGCTTCTCTAGGAGAATATAGGTCTCTTCAAGGCAGGGACTCCCACATTTGGAAAATCTGTGTCCTTAGGAGTTTAAGAAATGAATGTGCCAAATGGCTGGCTGGGTTTTCTTTTTAAGGTGAGTTGGTATATTGCAATATAGGAATTCTGCATCCAATTCCATATCTGTCCCTAGTTCCCTTTACATTTTTGGCTAAAGCCACAACACTCTCAGGATCTATTAGGTATTAGTTAGACAGTCTCAGATTCTTTTTTACATGTTCGGGAAGTAAGGATTCAAGGGGAAAAAGTAAGAAAAAGTAATGAGGCCCATTAAAAAGCCACCAGGTATTTCTTTTTTTAAAAAATTATTTATTTAATTTTATGTATTCATTCATTTATTTTAATTTGACCAGAGAGAGATACACACACACA